GAGGGGGGAGGGTCAGAGGGAGAAGCAGACTCCCCGCCAAGCAGGGAGCCCGACGCGGGACTCGATCCCGGGACTCCAGGATCGTGACCTGAGCCGAAGGCAGTCGCTCAACCGACTGAGCCACCCAGGCGCCCGTAAATTAACCTTTTAGTACTCTAGAGACAAAGTTCTCAGGTATTAAGTGCCAGAGATGCAACATATATGTGGTATCTGTGATATGTAACATTGCTCTAAATGTTTCCTGTGGGTGATTACTGTCATCATCACGGCCACGCCCATCATCTCTCCTTTTGCTATTAAACTGTAAGTCAGACTCACCCCTATGAAGAACTTCCGGGTCTGGCAGAATTCATTTTATCTCGATGCTTATCTTAGCAACGGGCAATGAGTGAGTTGTTAGAAAAACCCTAGCCTAAGAGCACTTGTTTTCTTTGCGGCACAAATAACACATATGCTAAGATGGTGTTGCCCTTCACTTCCAGGAGTCTGAAACCCTACACGTGTGTATAGTAAAATGTGCCAAAGCAATTGACCAGGGATTTACTACAAGTAACTTGATAGGTAACTGTTGAGTAAGAGCCCATTGCATACAGAGCTCCATGGCAAGTCTAGCCGGGAATGCATGATCTGCGCTGGGGACACAGTATCACCTCCACATGAAGTGTGTGACCTGACAACAGTGATCCTGAGTGCACAAGAAGGGCACTCATTTCAGACCCTCAGATCTCTCTGTGCTCATCACGCTGGCCTTTTTCCTGATTCTTTTTGCATTTTACGGCACCTGCTTCTTTTTTTTCCTGTCTCCTCCAGCACACGCTCCTTGAGGGCAGGGATCAGGCCGGATCCATATCAAAGTCAGCCTAATTATTTCTAAGCAGGGGAGCTAAAACACAGCACTTCTGCAACTTGAATGTGCTTTAGAATCCTGAGATGATTCCTGGCCAAGACTCCACCTCCAGCCTTCTGCATCACACCATATAGGATGGGGCCCTATATGCATTTTAACAAGCCACACCCCCTACCATTCCCCTCAGAAGGATTCTGATGCAGTTGGTCAGGAAACCCACTCAGAAAACACTTTTCAGTCTAGGGGTGCCTAGGGTGGCTCAGTTGGTCAAGCATCTGCCTTTGGATCAGGTCATGATCCCAGGTTCTTGGGATGGAGCCCCCCCGCATCAGGCTCCCTGCTCAGCGGGGAGTCTGCTTCTCCCTCTCCCTCTCCCGCAGCTCATGCTCTCTCTGTCTCTCTGTCTCTCTCTCTCTCTCTCAAATAAATAAATAAATAAAATCTTAAAAAAAAAAAAGAAGAAGAAGAAAAAACACTTTTCAATCTATAAGCCTAGGGTATAAGCCTGGAGCACACCCTTTGGATCAGCTAGAGCTAGCTTTTGTCCCAATTCTACACCTCAGTAGCTACAGGGAAGGCATGTATCCGTTTCTGAAGTTCCTTGTGCCCCAGTTCCCTCAGTTACAAAATGGGGATAGATACAAGACTTAACAGAAACAAAATGGAATGGTGGCTGCCAGGGGCTTCCAGAGAGGGGATGGGGAGTAAGTTGTTTAATAGGTAGAGAGTTTCAGTTCTGCAGGATGAGAAATTTCTGGAGATCTGTTGCACAACAGTGCAAATATACTTAACATTAGTAAAGTGTACCTTTCAAAGTGGTTAAGGTGATAAATTTTATGTTATGTGTTTTTGCCACAATGAAAAAGAAAAAGAATTTTTTAAAAGAAATTTGTAATAGGGTTGCATAATAGTATCTCCCTCACAGTGTTCTTATGAGCGTTACATGAAATAAAGCTTGTCAAGTCTCTGGCTCAGTCACTGATCTAGCAACTGCTCAAAAAATTATAGCTATTATTATTGTGGTAGTCCTGGTTGTTAAGGTAGTTAATTATGAATAAGTTACTATTTAAAGGCATTTTAAACCAAATTATAGTCTGAATCTTCAAGCTGATGGAGGCTCTCTTTATTTTTTGAAATGGTGTGCCAATTTCTCAGGAAAGCACTGGGCTGTAAAATGGAGACTCATCTCTAATCATTCATTAAGGACTGTTTCAAACCCTCCCCACAAATCCAAGTAACATTTGACAGACTGCATTTTTACCAGATCCTGACCAACAGACCCATTCACATTTCACATGTAGATCCTTATGTTAAAAACCCCAACCATATTATAGGTCGATATGTGAAAGCAGGAGGATATTCATTTTAGGCGGTCTAATTCATAACACTAAGATCCTCAATTTGTAGAGATGAAGGAGACAAACAAAAATGTTGAACTTTGTTTTTCAGCTTAGGCTTAATGAAGGAAGTCAAGCAAAATCTGCCACCGTAAAAGAAAGAAATGATCTCCATGAAATATTTTGCATCTTTGATGTGCACGTGGAACCCAAAGCAGATTTGGGAAACGTGGCATAAACCCAAGGCCGTCATTTTGATTCTCTGTGCATCGTTTTGATTTCATGTGCATCTATTCTAATTTTGTCTCTCCAGCCCATTATTTAAACCTTAGCAGGACAGATGTGCTGTTTTACAGGGCCATAATCCACTTGGTGGGCGGATAACCAGGAGGCCTTTGGTCTTCATCATTTACTCCAATAAGAAAACTAGACTATTGCCTTGTAAAACAGCGTGAGTCCCCCGCCCTGATTTCACATGCTATGCTAACCCATGGAACATCCTTGGAACTTCTAACTGAATTCATAAAACTCATCATGGTCACAGAGATGACCAAAATTCACTCTAGGCTGAACGAAATTAGGCAAAAGTCAATCTAGAAATATAAATAGTAAAAATGAGAGGGTTGGAAAATGACTTCAGGTACAGGATTTTAGGCCAGCACAGGTTCTCATATGAATCAGATTTATCATTCTAAGGCTGAGAAGGTTAGGTACCCACTGGTGAAAACTCTAATCCCAGTGGCTTTTAAATCTCTCTTGATTGAAAAATAAATTCTAGGGGCACCTGGGTGGCTCAGATGGTTGGGCATCTGCCTTCAGCTCAGGTCATGATCCCAGGGTCCTGGGATCGAGTCCCACGTCGGGCTCCCTGCTCGGCGGGGAGACTGCTTCGCCCTCTGCCTCTGCCTCTGCCCCCCTCTCTCTCTCTCTCTGACTCTCATGAATAAATAAATAAAACATTTTAAAAAATAATTAAAAAAATAAATTCCAAAGTCATTACTAAGGATTCCCTGCCACTTTTTAAAATCTCCATCCTATGTGTAATTCTTGTAATTGTGGGAGATAAGGGTTTTCAGAGAGACCAGGAGCCCCATCCCAGAACTTTTGAGTAATGACAACATTGTCTGTCAAGAGGTGGTACTTGTGAAATCAGAAATGGGCGGCAGTATATGCAGGTGGACCATCAGCAAGAATTATGATTGCTCCCATCCACCAGCATCCTTGCCAACAGGTGGAAGGAAGGAAGAGAAGAGCTGTGATTGTAAACAGCAAGAAGAAGTGATTAAAAGAATGTAAACAACCAGACATGAACTTCAGATTCTGGGCATACTGCCTTCTGTCCAGTTAATTTTTTTTTCTGATGCAGTAAAGACACTACCTCGTTACCTTAATACGGGGGTTTCTAATAAAGGCTTGAGGTTCCAATACCCAAATATTAACTCCAGCTCTAACTTCTCCTAGTCACATACCTTGGAAAATCACTTAACTACCCTGGGCCTCAGTTTCCTCATCTAGAACAGGACATAGATCACATGCACATTCACTAAGTTATTTGCAGAAGCTTAAAAGAAAATGTATCCGTAAAATGGGGATAAACTAGGAGTTCTCAGAAATTCTTTCCAGACTCACCATTCAACAGACCTGTGACTTCTTTGTTACAGGCTCATGTCCCTTGTCATTCTAGTCCTCTTCAGCACGTATATACCAACAGAGGAATCTCTTTTTATTAAGTACAGTCCTACCTTACATTTTCTCATCACATGGTAGTGTTACCCCTCAGTTATGTTACAAGAAGGAAGCATTTTGCCATTAAACTGATGATACAGTTATTTTTTCAAACAACAATTGGTGACCAGAGCATGTTACTATTTTTTAAGTTCTATGCAATATTTTTAAAACTATATAAGGAAGTATTTGCATTTCCTTCCATAGTTGTTTTCTGCTTGATTTCAAGAGTTAAATGAACAGTTTCAAATACCTTCTGTGTGATGCTTTTCCCCTCCATTAAAATGCTGAAGGGTTTGTTTGTTTGTTTTTCCCTCTTTAGGAGGAAAAAAGAAATCTTTCCCCTGTAATTTACTTTGGCTTTCTCAAAAGTTGGGTAGGAAAGTCAATATAATTCAGGTAGAATCTAAAATGTTCTTGTTGTACAAGTGTGCACAGAAAGGAAGCCTATAATTTCTGAACATTCTTTCAGGAAGTTTGTGTTCTCTGTTTTCCAGGGAGCCTTTACTTTCCAAGGGAGTATGACCGACAAGCCGTTACTGAAGCAAGCCCAGAACATTGTTACGCTTGCCACATCCATCAAGGAAAAATGATCTGTTAAATGAAGCTCTCATCAGGTGGGCTGAACATATACAGCGGGTTTCTTAAAGACAAACCATAATACTCAAGGCAACTTGTTAGTATGCCAGATTGGAACCTTTCTCCCATTTACAGTTCAAATGGTTGCAATGTTAATCATAATTTTTGTGGGTGTATTATCTCACTGGCCAGTTATTCCTCTAAAAATGAACTTTCTCCTTTTTGATTCCAAGCTTAGGACTTTCTTGCTCATTAATGTGTTGCAAATATGCACTTATGATTTCACAGGGAGATAAAATAGTGGAGAGAGATGGGCTGGGGGGATGTTAGGTCTTTAATGAAACAGATCTTTCTCGAATATGTCCGCTCCCTTCACATTTCTCATGTTAGATGTTTCCCACATTGTTCATTAGTCGACACTGTAAATAATTTTAAGGCCAGTCTTGTGCCTCAGTCGTTAAGCGTCTGCCTTGGGCTCGGGTCATGGTCCCGGGGTCCTGGGATCGAGCCCCGCATCGGGCTCTCTGCTCAGCGGAGCGCCTGCTTCTCCCTCTCCCACTCCCCCTGCTTGTGTTCCCTCTCTCGCTGTGTCTCTCTCTGTCAAATAAATAAATAAAATCTTTAAAAAAAAATTGTAGTTAAATGAAGGGGTTACGTTTATTTCACTAGAAATCTGATAAAATGAGAGATGGCATAGAAAACTTAAGCATCAGATAGCTTCTAAAAATAAATCTTCAAAGCTGATTACTCTTAACCTCCACCTCCCAAAATGAAACATCCATACATTTGAACCGGTAGATGAGAACTATGAAAGCCCTCATCCTGGGTGAATGCTTTGGGTCAACAGTTACCAGCAATTAAAAAAAAATGTGCAGAAACACAAGACCATCCATTCTCTCCCTTAATTTCCCCATTTAACTGTTTGCCATTGAGGCCGCTTCCCCCTGTAAATGTATGGCCGGGACAGGGCCCCCTCAGCAATAAACTTGTAGCCTCTAAGAAGACACAATGCGGCCGAGCTGGTGCATATGGTCCCCTGCGAGATTTGCATCACATTAGAGATGCTGCTGCAGGTCATATGGGCGGTGTGGTTAACGGGCTTAGTAAAGCTGTTTTGAAGAGGTTAACCCAGCTTGTAGGAAGGGTAAATAAACATAACAACCAGCCATTCTTCCCTATTCAGCATGTGCTCTTATACTGAAGGCTAAAGGGTATTGAAGCTGGGAAGGATCAACTTGTGTTTGCCAGAGGACGCCAATGAAATTTGAAACACCAACAATCAGAGATTTTGTTTCTGCTCCTCATTAAATCATGAGCTTTTGTGTTGAGACTCTGGACGACTGTTCTTTAAGAAATTAACAGAATGGGAAGTTTTAAACTCTACACCAACCTTTTCATGACCTACACAGCCGCAAAGCTGCTACTCTTAGACAAACACCGCGGGGAAGGCTGTTCTGTTTCTTTAAATTTGTAAATAGAAAACAGTTGTTTTTTTATTTTCATTTTTCACCTCCTCCTACACCCTAGTTGTTTATTTCCTCCATGGCCCCAACTGTGTGGCCCAGCCAGGGGTCTGCTCTGCCCCTGCTTCTTGCAGTTCCTACAGGAAGCCGAGAGGTAAGTGGAGTTGAAGGTTATATACAAGGAGGGGCGCCATGGAACCCAAGCCGAGTGGGAGAGGCCCACACACCGTCCCGCAACCCCCACCCACCCAGTGCACTGAAGGAAGGGGATGATGCAGTTCTGCCAGGCGGGCAGAAGGAACCGGATCCAGGCAGGACGGTTCTGGGGAAACACATTCTGGAAACACCAACTAATAATCCCAAACCTGGGATCTGAGGCCACAGCTCTTGAACGGGGACGGGATGTACTAAGCTGGGGTCCCGGCCTGCCTCGGGCGGGGGAGGGGTCTCCTCTCCTCTGCGCACCCCTCTCTCCAGCCCCTCCTGAGAGCACTGTCACTCTTCACCTTGGCCATCCTGTGCTGTCCCCCGAGTTAGCTAGAAAGGAAGGTGGGAGCTAGCCGCATCCTCACATGGCGCGGCTGGAAGGAGGAGGACGGTATCTCAGCCAGTGTGGGAAGAAGACTGGCCTCCAGTCACACTGGGCTTTAGGCCTTCGGGGCGGCGGGCAACGGTCATAGGAAAAGCAGCACCCCCAGTAAGGTCCCTCTCCGGGTGGTGCTGAGAGCCGGGACGTGGCTAGGACTCCCCACCGCCATCACCAACAGGCCCGTGGGTTCCTAGATCACCACACCTTTACCTGACACCCAAATGTCACATTTATCATCTTCCTTGTAACCCTGTGTTCCCAATTATGGTCATATCATGAGACTAGGACCCACTAGAGCCAAAAATCTGGACCACTCTGCTCTGGTCCCCCTCCGAGCAGAAACCCTGACCGAGGGCCCCCAGAAGAGGGTTTAGTTAGGGTCAGAGGTCCTGGGGAACCCCTCCAGTTGGCAGTGGACTACAAGAAGAGGACCTCGCAGCCATCTGATTAATTAAAAACCATACCTGTTTATATTTTGTGTAGCTCATCACAAGCCGCTTCGCCATATCACCCCCTTGTTATTAATTCTTGGGGGCTAAATTATGGGTAACACTATTAAAACATTATCAGAACTAATGAGAAACAATTACTTAGAAAATGAGCCAGGACAAGATTGAGTTGAGAACATCAGTGGTGATCACTGTAGATTAGTTTAATAAATCATCAGGTGCGGGGCAGGACTGTATGTATGCAAAGCCCTGTCACGGGAAAATGAAATTGAGATTTTTTTTTTGCATAATTTTTTCATTAATCTCAATAGGACCCGTGTGGTGTAGATTGTTTTATTCCCCTAATACCTTGCCTGAGGGGGGGTGCCCAATAATGTCTTCATTGTTTTACTGAGGTCTTAATGACAATCTGTGACAACCTCATTTTAATGTATAGAGGATTATATCAATACAATCATGTTTTATTGAAATGGTGAGGCGGAAACGCCATTGGAGTCCCGCACTGTCTGTGAGCACAAGTTGGGAATTTCCCCGGCATCTGGGTGCAGTTCCCTTCAGATTTCGGAGTATTGAACCGCTCGCTGCCCTCAGGTCCTCTCCTCCAGGGACAGGCTGGGAAAAGCTTCCTCAAGAAGACTTCACCACCTCCTATTTGAATTTGAAAGTAGCTCGTTGCTTGCCATATTTTGCTGGGTAAATGGAACAGACCATGTAGGGTTTGTCTGTTTCCTTTTCTAAAATATACCTGTTACCATCATCTTTAACACATTAACCCTTAATAGTTCTGCCCTCGTTCCTCGTTGGGGAAACTGACCTTCACTGGAGACGTTATATTTTCTAACTATGTCTTAAGAGGATAAAAAAGAGCACATGCTTTTTAATTCGAAGGACATTCTGGTTTTATGGTTTCCGTTCATCTTGGAAAGCTAACTGTCGTCCGTTTTTAGTTTTACCTCTAGTACTTGGAAGGCAACTGATCGTACAAAACAGGTTATAAGATTACCAGCAGAATCTTGTGCATATTAATGCCGGCGAGGGGCACCGAGCCGGTCTGTCACCGCGGAGTTTATGCCCCAGGCTCGGGGACACTGTCCTCCCAGCCCAGAGACCCTCCCCCGGTGAAAGGTTTTCACACTGCAGTTTCGGGGGAAAGTGGAGGAAAGTAATTAGCAGAGCTCAACATTTAAATGTTAAAACTTTAATCTTCCTTTCCGCGCTTTATTTTAACTCGGGACGGGGGTGGGGGGCGAACAGAGCGAACAAAATGGCAATTAAAATACCTAACTTAGTACCTGAAAGCTTGCGCCGTGGTACCGGGCAGCTTTTTGCTGTCCTGTGATGGGTGATTGTGGATGTTTGGTGGTAGTTTGTTTACATTCCAGCAATTATTTGGCAGCATATTTCCTTCCGAATCGGTAAGAACTGCCAACGACATAAAGAGTGTGATGTGTGGGAAGAAACTGAAATCGTCGTTAGCGCCTTTTGTGGTCGTTTGCTGTCGATCCGACCCCGTTCCAGCTAAGCGGGCTGAAGCCTGCAGAATTTTCATTTAAAAAACAAAAACAAAAACAAAAAACTGTTTACAAGTCTTGTAAAAGACAAGGGATTTGTCGCTCGCGCCCTTCCTTTTGAAATTTTTGTTTGTAAGGGAACGGCTCGGTGTTTGCCGCTTCCGACGGGAAGGGCTCGGCGAGCCGGGGCAGCGCGCCCCGTCGGAAGGACGTGCGCCCGCGGGGCCCGGACACGCGGAGTCCGCGTCCCCCGCCGCCGGCGCTTCCCGAGGACC